TCTGTCCAATCATACTGAGGAGGGGTTCTCTGCTCTGTGCAAGAGCGCCTTGCCTGCGGCTGCGGTTCTTCTGTAACAGGAGCCAGCCCCAGGCCTGTTCTGCAGGCAGCAGGGTGCCGAGGCTTAGAGCGCTGCTCAGCTTTCCCTTATTTTCATTTAAAATTTTTCTTTTCTTTTTTTTTTTTATTAGTTACATTTTATTAACTCTGTATCCCAGCTGTATCCTGCTCCCTCATTCCCTCCCAATCTCACCCTCCCTCCCTCATCTCCTCCCTGCCCCTTTCCAAGTCCATGGATTGGGGAGGACCTCCTCCCCTTTCATCTGACCCTGTTTTATCAGGTATCTTCAGGACTGGCTGCAAAACCCTCCTCTGTGGCCTAGCAGGACTGCTTCTCACTTGGGGGGTGGGGAGGTCAAAGAGCCTGCCATTGAGTTCCTGTTAGAAATACTCCCTGTTCCCCTTACTATGGTAAACCAATTGGTTACTGAGCTACCATGGGCTACATCCGAGCAGAGGTTCTAGGTTATATCTATACATGGTCCTTGGTGGAGTGTCAGTCTCACAAAAGACCCCTGTGCCCAGATATATTTGGTCCTTGTGGAGCTCCTATCAATCCTCATTTAGAAAGACAAATGGGAGGTGCATTGGACAGAGAAGAAAACAAGTAACAGGACAGGAGCCTACCGCATAGGGCCTCTGAAAGACTCTACCTAGCAGTGTATCAAAGCAGATACTAAGACTCATAACCAAACCTTCGGCAGAGTGCAGGGAATCATATGAAAGAAGGGGGAGTTTGTATGACGTGGAAATTTTTTTTTTTTAATTTGTCTAACTACCTTCCTTTTGTATTAGAGTGTTGAATTTCCTTTTCTGGGTATGGAATACAGTTCTTATAGCAAGGAAGAGCCCCATGGATCTCCCTTGACTCCTCAGAATTGTGTTTTCCTGTGGTATTAGTTAGTAGGAATAAACTCCCTTCACCTCACCTCGGGCCAAAGCTCGGCTCAGCAGTGGGTCAGTTCATGAGAATCAATGAATGAATAAATGAACGAACGAATGAATTAATTAAAGGGTAAACTGAGACTTAACAAAAAATACTGTGCCCCTCCCTCCCCTTCTTCTCCCTGGGCCAGGTGGGCCGGCATTCCCTGCCATCTGCCATGCCACTGGTGATCCCTGCTTTCCTGCCTTCCACATTGCAACTAGGAGGGTCAGGACACGATCCAGCTGGCCTGGGCAGGCTTGGACTTCTGAGACCGTTCCCTCAGGAAACCGAGGCCAGGGGACCTCTTTGATCTGCTGACCCTCATATTGCCTGGCAGGTCTCATCAAAGCGGATCTTAGAATGACTGCTGGTTCCCAGCCCTTCTCTACTCTATCCCCGCCCCAGGGCCTTCATTCCTGAGCCTGGAATTTGAATTTTCTACTGCTGCTGGAGGGGTCACGGATCGGCACGGCTGAAGGTCAGCTGTCCTTCCCCGTGCCCGCAGCCCAGCCGTGCTATTCGCCCCCCGCAGGCCTTATCGCCCCGCTGTGCCCACGCTTGAGCTGTGGTGCCACTCACCTCTCTCCGGTGGGCGCGGACTGCACCCAGCTTGCAGGACGGGGGTGTGGCGCGGTGCGCTGGAGGCTTGGGACCCACATGCACCCACCCACCTACCTACCTACCTACCTACCTACCTACCTACCTACCTACCTACCTGACCCCAGGCAGAGGACACAGGCGGCGCTGGCCAGCTCTCCCTCCTCCGTTCCCCCGCCCGCGCAATGGCCTAGGGAGAGCTCAGTCTTCACAGGGACCCAAATCCCTTCCCCGGTCCTTTTGAGGTACTTGGGGGGGAGGGCAGGGAGACGAAGAACGTGTGTCTTATTTCTTCTAGCTAGACAGACAGGATGAGGAGGACTTAGCGGGTGGGATGTGTCACCAGGCAGAGGCCAGCCATCTTCCCTCCCTCCCCAGACACTAGGTGACCACAGTGGAGATCCTTGTCCCCCAGCTCTGGCTGACTTCAGGCTGTCTACATCAGGCAGCGGCCCAGTGCCAAGCTGGTGTTCCGCTGTGCTCCCTGGAGAAGGGAAAGGTGGGGATGCACCCTGAGTCAGCGGGACACCGGGCTCCCCAGGGCTGAGTCTCAGGGCAGCTGAGATTGGAATGACCCGCCAGGTCCACTGTGTCACCGGTATCACAAAATAATGGGTCATTTCCCCCTCTGTGGACCCCTGCTTCCAGACCAGTCTTAGGCTGGAAAGAGCAGGAAGCCACTCAAGAAGAGCTGCTTCAATTTTAGGCCGGGTCTGCCAGCCATACTTCCCTTCCCCTGCTCTGCTTTGTTTGTTGTTGTTTGGGGTGCTTTGTTTGGTTTTGCCATTTCTTCTCGATCTTCTGTCCCTCTCCTCCCTAGCCCACCCCTAAGAGGTGGTGATTACCATGAGGCCAAAGGGAGCCCATTTTGGCTCCTGAGAGCAGAGAAGGGTGAATTGTGCAAACCAGCTGTTAAAGGTGGTCAATACAGTACATGAACTTGTGCAAAGCTACAATTAAACAGTGTAATAAAGACAAAAGATCACAAAAAGTCAAAATTCATCCACTCCCTATGCCTTATGTGCATAGTGGGTGGGTTTTACAGTGTGCTTGGACCTCCTGCCTACCTCTTCCTTCCTGACTAATGTTCTATTACACCATGCAGGCAGCTGGACATCAGCCAAGCCAAGTGTTTACACCACAGAAATGGGCATGCTGCATTCATGGCTGGATTTGTTTGGGGTTTTGATTGTTTGTTTGCTTTTTGAGACAAGGTTTCACTACATAGTTCAGGGAGGCTTGGAACTCAACAGTCTCTTATCTCAGCCTCCTGAATTAAAGGTCTGTGCCCCACGATGCCAGTTCAACATTTGTTCTGACCTAGGAGAATGATGGAGACGATGTTAGTATTGTAAGATCATGTCTTGGGCGAAGGCTGTGGTCCTGCCCTCATTTTCAGGAAGGCTAGCCATATTGGACCATTGCCATGTGAACAGCCCAAACACGGAGGGAATCTCCACGGAGCTTCCAGAAAGTGACCCAGCTTAGCCGTCACTCACGCCATCCGTGAAACCTGACATGTCTTTGACTTGCTGACAGTGTCAACCCACATTCACTTTGGAACGGCAATCACCTGCCAGCCATGCACAGGCTGGCACCAACACGGTAAGCGTGGCCAAAATGAATGAGAGCATTCTATGACCAATGGGTTGGCTGCGTGGATGTCAATAAAATTTTATTATCTGTAAATATTACACATCCTTCACAGTAGTAAGATCTAGGTATGTACTTTCATCCCTCTTACGCCCAGGTCCCTTATGTTCTCTCTAGAGCCCCTTGCCCCAAATCTCTCTGTAGACCTCACCTTGTGCTATGAACGTGGAGATCCATCTCCAGACACCCAGAGACTACCAGGGTAGAGGGTAGGGCCTGAGACCCAGGAGCTACTCCTTAACCACCCAACCCACAGTGTTGCTATAGGACCATCATCACTTGGGACTGGCTGTGGATTCATTCTGAGGTCTCAGAGTTGAAACCATCAGAGGGAAGGGTGTTGGGGGAGGACAAGGGGAGCTCAAACACCTGGGCTTGGTGAAAAGGGGAGAGGAAAGCCAAGCTTTTGGGCAGGTGTGCTAGGTTCCAGACACCTTAGGGACAGCTCAGTCAGCTGTGTGCAGATCTAGAATTCCCAAGGAGGTGGGGGCTGAGGATGTCAGCTCCGAGCCTCCTGGGAATGGCCTGTAATTAGAATTGTGGATGTGTAGGAGCTTGTCAGGGCATGAGGGGTGATGAGAAGCCTAGGTGTGCCTTGGGTGTGCAGGGCACAGTCTACAGAGGGCAGGGTGTGGCTACTGCAGATGCGCAGAGAGGGGAGTGTAGCAAAGGAGAGGTCACCCGGGGTGAATGTACCAGAGTGACTGGACTGCCTTCAGATTTCATGGCATTGGTGACCTTAACAACAGCCTTTACATCACACAGAACTAGAGCAGGTGGAAGAGACAGTGAGGCAGAGACAGGCCAGGATAGAGCCCTAGGGCTGGAGGATGGGGACGGGATGAAAGCACTAGCTAAGCACAAGGATCTAGAATGATCCCTAAACACAGCTGAGGAGGGTCGAGACCAAACTGAGGCGTCTGTGATGTTACAGAGGGCTGTCAAACCGATGAGGAGTTTGGGGAGACGCGCTGAGAAGAGCAGAAGGGTGGGCTTCAGGCCTGTGAGTGCAGGGGAGGTGTGTGGAGGGAAGAGACTCGGTTGAGGTAACTCGGGGCGGCCCACAGGCTCCCTGTGGATGGTGTGAGTGTGGGAGGGCTGTCCCAGAAGGGATGGAGTCGTGAGGTGGAGGCTGCCAACAACAAGGCATGACTGGCCAGGCGTCAAATCCTACAAAGGCCACAGAGTGGAGCTTGCCAAGCGACTGCTCCACGGATAGCAATTCTCACCAAGCAGCCAGATCCAACAGATTGCAGAGCCTCGGGAAGGGACGGGCAGGGCCAGGAGGCAGAGCGGCTCACACTGGAAGTCCGGTGAGGGAGGAAAGACACTTAAGACATCAGGTGGAACACAGGACAAGGTTTGGTCGCCTGGGGAGATTAACAGATTACGCAGCTTTTCTGGTCCCATCCATCTACCTCACTGATTTAAATAGAAGGCCCTAAGGTCTAGCATTTGGGATTGTGTAACTTTGGGAAAATCAAAGGGGGATCCTGTCCGGACAGGAGCAAGGTCCCATGCCCAACTGGGACTCCGCTGACGCTGACTTAATGTGCTGTGAACCATGGGGCTGATGTCACTTACAGGACAGCTCTGTTCTTTACATTTGTCTTGCTGACTGTGCAGCTCCATATACCTAACGACTCAGACAGCTACGGCTTCCCACAGCTGGGGGTTGGCTGGGCTGTGGGAGCCGGAAGCCCTAGCCTGTGGTAGCTCACTGCATGCAGCCACGGTGTTCACTGAAGAAAACCAGAACTCACTCAGGTTCCTTTCCATTTTATTATCCCCATCTTCTAGAACGAATGGCTATTAACACACAACCCAAACACCCTTACCGTGGATCTTGTTAACATTCTGAGGTCTCCCCTGTTTCTTTTTCAGCACATTACATCAAAACAGAAAAAAAAAAAAATCGTTTAATCCATCCCAGGAAAAGCACCATTACAATAGGAAACGAAACGTGTCAGGCATTGGACCAAATACGCAAACAGCAGGTCAGACCCCTGAAGAATACCTTCCAGCGGAGCATAAATAGGTCCCGAAAGTATATAATATAGATCTTCAAGTGTGTACATATATATTAAAGGAATTTGGTTCCTACCCCCAAAAAGTTATTCAGAAATAGTAACATTCCCTCTGTGCCGAGGAAGGCGGGGTGGGGGGGGAGGCACCAGCCACACTACAGAGCAAGTGCGGCCTGGGCCTTCCTTCTGTGCACTAACCCCGCCTGCCGGACTGTCCCTCGCCGGGACTCGACTCGAGAGGGCAGCTCTTTGCCGCACCCTAGGCCTGGCAGATCCAGTGTTTCTATTAAAGTGAGCCTGGGAAGCATCAAAGCCTCCCCTAAGCAGAGCCCAGGAGCTAGCTACAAATGGCCCAGACCCCGTGGCTAACCCTGAAGCTTGGTCCTGTTGGAAAGGGAAGCGCTGGGACCCCAGGAACCGGATGGCAACCGTCCTGGGTTTAACGGCCAGCCCTGCTCCAGGCTAAGCTTTTCCTATGACCCATGGCTTTTAGGCAGGAGTAGCGTTGCCAGACCCATCAGGGCTTAGGTTTATGAGCCTGGGACACGCGCACGCGCACGAGCTCTTCAAAGGAGGTCAATAGGTTGCAGATGAGTATTCCTACTCAGTAGTGTCTGTTTCTGGGTAAATCAGTTTTGCCACTGAATCCTAAGCAGCCCCTGTGTGAAACAGATTTGTGCACAAGACACCAGCTGCTGGAAGCTGTAGCTACAGAAGATAAGTTATAGGCCCAGGAGAGTAACCCGGGCTTGGCACAGTGTTTCCATCAACCAACGGGTTGACTGCGTGGGAACCCCACGCCTCATTCTCCACCCTTTCCTGGCACCAGGGGCAAACAGGAGAAAAGGCTGTCGTAATCAGAAGGCGCACCAGCAGTCTAGGGCTTGCACGCTGCAGATCCTCGAACCCACGTCACACGCAGCCGTACTCATACCACACTGTCTGCGGGTCCCCGCCTGGCTCTGGGGATGCTGGCATGCTCTCCGAGCTGCTCCCTCGAGTGAGGTCCTCAGGGCCCCTGCTCCTATGGGGAGCCACGTCAGGAGACCTGCCAGGGCTTTTGGTCAGACGCCCCTCACTGTGGCCATGCCCCGGAGTCCCACCTCCCTCTGAGGTGCCGAGCCCTGGTCGCACAGGCGTGACAGTCGCTACCTCCCCTGAGTGTGGTGGCACTTTGGGTTTCGTCCTGACCGATGGAGCCACAGCGGGAGAACAGTGCTGGATCTGAGCGTTGCTGTCACTGCCGCATCCAGTGGCAAGGGCTGGCGCTGTGGCGGACTGCTGCAGGGGCGCCAACCTCTCTTCCTTTGGTGGGGCCAGAGAGAAGCGTCTCGTGTCCAGTGGCCGGCCTCGGGGGCCCGGGCCTGGAGAGGAGCTGTCAGCTTTTCCCACCAGTGGAGTCCGCTCCCGGGCTAGGCTGTGGGAGCCTTTCAGGCTGTGGCTGCCTGTCTCTCTGGCTCCTGCAGCCTCAGCACATCGAGGATTCTGGGGAGAGCCTGGCCTGCAGGCTTCGGGCCCACTGGCCCGGAGGAGGTCAGCTGAAGCCAGGCTGAAAGTTCTGCTCAGAGATGCACTTCGGCTGACAGGCACGTGACAAGTCGGGGGCATTGTGGCTTGCCTGGGTCTACCCAGAGACAGGCTCTGGGGAGGCTGGACCTGTCTGGAAGGGATCCCAGCCAGGGCCTCAGCTTCAGATGGTCTCAAGCTGGGCTTCACAAAATGCCCTGGCTTCAGCTGCTGCCCCTCGGAGGTGGTGACTGGAATCTTGATGGTGGGAGCCACAAAGCTGGTGGGCATCTTGGCTCCATCTTTCCTAGCTGGTGGTCCCGGCTGGCCTCCCACGGCTGGGGGATCATGAGCCTTTCGGAAGTAGTCACTGAGCAGGTCATCCCGGCAGCTGGAAGTGTCCTGGAGAGAGGAGAGAGCAGAGGTGGAAAATTGGGCCTGAGGGTCCTCTGGATTCTGCACTGACATTTCTGTCCCTGGTGGGTTTCTTTTAGGCATGCCTCAGAAACAGATGGGGTGATGAGGAGCCAGGAGGACAGGGGTTGTTTGGTAAAGAACCCCAGACACTACCCAGGCAGCTCCCAGGTGCTGAAGCAGACAGGTAGAGACAGAAGTGATTTCCTACAGAGCAGCAACTTTACTGCTGTAGTGAGACCCAGACCACAGCTGACAGCTTAGTCTGTTTCTGTCCTCTGCAGTATAGAGCAGGAGCGCACGTGTGCTGGGCCGGAGAGTGAACCCAGGCAAGCACTCAACTACAGAACTATGTCCCCAGGTCCTTGCAATCTATTCTCACAGTGTGTGAGCAATGAAGTCTTTGGTGGGAAGAGCTAATGCATGCATGTGTGTGCGTCTGTTGGCATGCAATGCTGCAATGTAGAGATGCGTGTGGAGTCCAAAAGAAAATGTCCTCCAGTGCTGGCCATCTTGGGTTTTATTGGTTTGTTTTGTTTTTGTGACAGGGTCTTCTTCTGGTCTGGAGCTTACCAATTAGCACAGGCAGGCCGGCCAGTGAACCTCAGGGATCTGAACGCCTCTGCCTTCCCAGTGCTGGACTATAAGGGGACCACTACCATGTCCAGTTCTAAGGAAATTTTTATGTTTCTAAACAAGCAGGACTAGGAATGGTACAAAGCCCTGAGTTCAATCCCCAGTAACACACACACACACACACACACACACACACACACACACACACACACA